CGTGTTAGTTAAAGGCTCTCGACTCCCACATGGCCGACTGCGGTTTGAGTCCCAAACCTGGTGGCTTGCTTTCTCACTTTCCCGCCCCCTCTCTCTCTATCTCTCTTTAATTAAACTGGAAAATAATAATAAAGTTAAATTAAAATAATTAATTTTTTTTTTGGAGAGGTTTTTGCTATAGGGCATGTGCACTCGCCAGAAAGACAGAGAGAGATAGACAGAAGGCGAGAAATCACCCCACCAGGGGGATGGCCATGCCGCAATCCCTTCTCCTCCATTCTCCTCTCAGGATCTTGGGCATACACGCACACGTGCCCAGCGTGAGTTTAAGCCACCAGGTCTGGGACTCGAATTGCAGTCGACTACATGGGAGTCCAGAGGCATAGCCATTATGCTAACTGCTGGTCCCAATAAAAATAATTATTTATAAAAAGAATTATTTACTGGAGACAGCAGGTGTCATGGTGGTTAAGGCTCTGAACTCCCACATAGTGGACCATGGTTCGAGTCCCAGATCCGAGAGTTTGCTTTCTCACTTTTCCTCTCTCTCTGATCAGATTAAAAAATATTTTTTAAAAAAGAATTAGTTTATTTAACTTTATTTTCTTTATTTATTTTCTTTTGACCAAGGTAGACAGAGTGAGGGAGACAAAGGTAAGAGTGAGAGGGAAAGTTTGAAAATAAGCTGTCAGGTCCAGGACTTGAACTGTGGTCAGCCATGTGGGACTCCAGGGCGCTGAACCACCACCCACACCATCTGCCAGTCCCCAGATTAAATAATAATAATAATAAATAAAATGTAATAAATATATATATTTAAAATAATTATTTATTTAATTTTATTTATTATTGTCATTGTATTTAAAATTTTGTATGGAGCACATGCATGCAAGAGAGAGAGCAAAAGTAAAAAAGCAAGTTGCAAGGTCTGGGACTCAAACTGCAGATGGCCATGTGGGAGTCCTGTGCCCCAACCACTATGCCACCTGCTGTCCCCTAGCATCTGTTTTTGACAGATAAGTAAATGAGACTCAGAGAGGTGTAGTGACTTGTTCAGGTCACTACAAGGGAGTAGTGGAGTTGGGACTGGGATCCAGGTGGTCTTCAAGTCCGTGCTCCTGTCACCACTGACCACAGAGGTAGGTGAGGAAACTGAGGCTCAGAGTGGGAAGGACCTCAACTCAGTCACCACAGTAAGTGTAAGTCTGGGTGCTGGATCAGAACCCAGAGGTCCCTGGAGTGATTCTTTGTGTGTGTGTCAGGGTGGTGCCAGCAGGGGGGAGGGAGCTCCTTGGTGCAGGACTCTCAACTGTGTGGCTGAGACCCTGGCTCGGGGGGGCGGGGGAGGCCGGCACGGTGGGGTCCTGAGCTGCCCCTCACCCCACTCCATACCTTCCCTGTAGTGTTCCCCGTGAAGCCCATCACCCTGACGGACGAGTGGAAGGCCCAGCAGCTCCAGCGCATCCTGGACATGAAGGGCAACCCCGTGGAAGGCCTGGCCTCACGGTGGGACTATGAGAAGAAGCAGTGGAAGAAGTGACACTGCGTCCCATCAGCTCTCCCTGCAGTGCCACGCTGGCCCACGACCTCTGGAGGCCCCCTGCTCCCTGCTCCTTAACCCCAATAAAACTGGCCTGTTCTCTTCTGCCTTTAGCTTCCTCTTCAGACTTTACCCAACACCTCCAATTAAGCAGTATAGTAGGCGATGGGGCAAGAGCAAGGCACCTTCCAGGGCCCAGAGCCCACCTAGTCAGGGAGGGCTTCCTGGAGGAGCAGGGGTTAGGGCTGAGCCTGAGGTAGGATTAGGAAAGGCCGGGTGGACAAGAGTGGAGGGAGTGGCTTGAGTAAGGCAAGCCCTCCTCTATTCAGCCAATTAACAAATCTTTTTAAAAATATATTTATTTTTATTTGTTATCATTATTTTTTTAATTTGACGAGAGTAGGAGAGAGAAAGAGAGCAAGCCACCAGGTTCGAGACTCGAATCGTAGTTGGCCATCTGGGAGTCCAGCACCTTAACAACCATGCCACCTGCCAGCCCATAACAAATCTTTTTTGAGCACCTACAGTGTGCCAGGTGCTGATCCAGGGCTGGAGATGCAGCAGTAAGTCAAACTCCTTGGCCTTATGAGGGAGACATTGCTCTGGAGGGAGAGAGGAAAATGTCACAAATAGGGCCAGCAGGTGGTGTGGAGGTTAAGGTGGTGTGGAGCCCCCACGGCCAGCTGTGCAGTTGGAGTCCCGGACCCCATGGCTTGAAAAACATGCCGGGCACATGTGTGTATGCATGCCCAAAATCTGGAGGGGAGAAGGAAGAAGGGATTGCAGCGTGGCCATCCCCTCTGTGGGATGATTTCTCGCTTTCTGTCTCTCTGTCTCTCTCTGTCTCCAGTGAACACATGTGCCCTATAGCAAACTTATACATACACACACATATATGTGCATACACACACACACACACATATATATAAATTTTAAAATTTGCTGTCATTTGTGTGGTTTATCCCTTGTAAGTAAAGTGTTTCCTCTGGTTGCTTTCAAATTTTTCCTTTGTCTTTAATTTTCAGAAGTTTCATTATGATGTGTCTTGGTGTGGATTTCTTGGGCTTATCATCATTAGGATTTGCTCAACCTCTTCTTTTTTTCATTGGAGAGAGACAGAAAGAGAAAGTGAGAAGTCACTCCTGGGGAGGATGGCCACACCACAATCTCTTCTCTATTCTTTCAGGACTTGGGGCACATGTGAACTTTAACGGCGTGTTTTCCAAGCCACTGTGTCCAGGAGTCGAACTGCGCTGTCAGCCACATGGATTCCATTCGCCTTAACCACCATGCCACCGGCTGGCCTGCTCAGCTTCTTCATCTGCAGGCTTATGTCTCTAGACAAATCTGAGACATTTTTGTCATTAATTCTTCAAGTCCTTTTTCTGAATGTGGAAGTCCAGCTATTCACCTGATTCGTAAACCTTTCTTCTTCTTTATTTTTTTTTTAAAGTTTGTTTCCTTCTTCCATGAGCAAGTTAGACAGAGAGACAGAAAGATAAGACCCCTCACTAGGGTCCTGATGCCATGGTCCACCCAGTCTCAGTAAGCCCTGGGTCACGGTCACGATGTGCCCAAGGCACTCACGGTGGTCTCTGGACATGAACCCAGAACCTATTCATGTGGCCAGCCTGGCAAAGCATAGGGTTATCTTTGTGTGATCATCCAACCTCTGAACTCTTAAATCTTTTCATGTCTAGCTTATCTCTCTCTCACTGCTTCTTTTTCTCCCCTTCTTTTTTTTTTTAAAGAATTGTTTTATTTATTTATTTATTTGGAGAGGTTTTGCTATAGGGTGCATATGCTCACCAGAAAGACAGAGAGAGAGAAAGAGAGAGAGAGAAAGCGAGAAAGCACCCCCCGGGGGGATGGCCATGCCACAATCCCTTTTCCATTCTCCTCTCGGGAACTTGGGCATGCGCTCACACATGCCCGGCATGAGTTTAAGCCACCCGGTGGGGGACTCAAACCACAGTCGACTACAAGGGAGTGGAGTGATGTAGCCATTACGCCAACTGCTGGTCCCAATAATTATTTTATTTAAGTTAGGGTATTTATTTTAATTTGACTAGAGAAGGGGAGAGAGAGAAAAAGTGAGAAAGGAAGCTGCCAGGTCCAGGACTTGAACTATAGTCGGCCATGTGTGAGTCCAGTGCCCTTAACCACCACGCCACCTGCCGGCCAGTCTCCCCTTCTAATTTATTTAAGAAATGGAGTCATGGAGACCAGCAGATGGCATAATGGTTACATCGTTGGATCCCACATGGCCAACTGTTGTTTGAGTCCCTGATCCAGTGGCTTAACACTCACACAGGGCATTTGTACATGTGTGCTTAACATCCCGAGAGGAGAATGGAGGAGAAGGGACTGTGGTGTGGCCGTTCCCCCTGGGGGACAATTTCTCACTTTCGGTCTCTCTGTCTCTCTATGGCAAGCACACATGCCCTATAGCAAACATCTCTTCCT